GATACGGTGCTACAGGAAGACAGACATACAGATGACATAAATAGATGTATAAATAAGGAATGGTAAATGCAAGTTATATAAGAATAGAGGAAAAATAATACAAGACTGTTAGAGAAAGAACAATGCAGATATTTACATGTGCATTATTCAGGGTTTGTGTTGCAATGGTGATTATATGGCGGGCCAGAACACAGTCAAATTATTTCAAATCCTTGTATACTCATGTGCATGTTCAGCTCAGTAGGTACTGTGCGGGTCTCCTGTTAAGATGATTGGAAGATAAATTCCAATTAACTGCGTATATTTTATTTATTATTTTATCTTATTACTTGATTATGAGGACACGTTTGCACATGCTCACAGTAAGGCACGTGCTGCAGTGTGTGTGTGTGCCCGGCGTTTCAGCACATTCACAAACCTATGGGCACTTATTTTCATTTCCCTAATAAGACGTCAGCTCCCCGAAAAGCATGATTTGTGATATTTTGAGTGGTCTCTAAAATATTGAAAGCATGCTGTATTGACATTAATCTTATCATGGATCATGCAGAGCGTCAGACTTCATCCCGCCAGAGGAAACGATCACTGACCGCGGTCGGTCGCTCTGCGATTTCCTGTCCCTGTTCTTGGTGATGATGTCAGAGAAGAAGGACCGCCTTGCATTTCTCAGTTCTAAATTATAAATGCCTCTCTTTATAGATGTCATAATGAACCTGGAGATTTGTTTTCCACCACCTGCGTTCAGCTTTTCGACACTCTCTTTTCTGAGTTCTAACCAGTGTAGCATTTCTCCATGGAGATCTTCTCTTACCAGAGACCACCTTCACCTTGGCTGCTGCAATGGCATCAATAACATTTGTAATTTTAGAACTGAAATTATCTACAAGCTCATTGACTGAGATTATGAAAAACAACAATATGTTACCATAATTATGCAGATGACACACAGATTTACATAACCATTTCACCAGGGGACTATGATCCCATACAGGCGCTGAGTAACTGTATTGAGCATCTTGGTGTAGTCATGGACTCAGACCTGAATTTGAGGAGCCACATTAAGACAATTACAAAGTCAGCCTACTATCAGCTGAAGAATATATCAAGGATTAAAGGACTTATGTCTCAGCAGGACCTGGAAAAACATATCCATGCATTTATCTTCAGTCGACTTGACTACTGTAACAGCGTCCTTACAGGCTCCCTAAGAAATCCATCAGACAGCTGCAGCTGATTCAGAACGCTGCTGCTCGAGTCCTCACTAAGACCAAAAAGGTGGATCACATCACTCCAGTTCTGAGGTCTTTACATTGGCTTCCTGTATGTCAAAGAATTGATTTGAAAATCCTGCTGTTAGTTTATAAAGCACTAAATGGTTTAGGGCAAAAATACATTTCTGATCTTCTGCTTCGTTACGAACCATCCAGACCTCTCAGGTCGTCTGGGATCAGGTCTGCTTTCTGTCCCCAGAGTCAAAACTAAACAAGGAGAAGCAGCGTTCAGTTATTATGCTCCGTATATCTGGAATAAACTCCCAGATAACTGCAGGTCTTACACTGCACTGTAACTTTTGCTGTCCTGTTTTCTTTGTCTTTAGCTTTTTATCATTGCTTATATCCATTTAACTCTTTTAACCCTGATTGCAACACTATAACTTTTATTATATTTATGTGTCTTTTAAACTTTTTTTATATTTCCCTGTTGCTTTTATGTTTTATGTAAAGCACTTTGAATTACCTTGTTGTTAAAATGTGCTATACAAATAAACGTGCCTTGCCTTGCCCAACAGAGAGAGAGCCCTTCACCAAAATGTCTAATAATTCCACTAATGACGCGAGAAAAGTGGGAAATAAATTAGCTGGAGTTGTTCCCCTGATGTTCATGAGCTCTTCTCTCGTGAAAGAGTTCCGGGAATCACAGCCGAAAACTGAGTTAACACATAAAAAAAAACAAAGCGCACTGAACACCGGACAGCTATACTTTGATGAGCCATCTTAGATGATGATTCAAAGATTGCGAAAAAATTTATGGACATATTGTGTTGATTTTTGATATTTGACTATTTTATTTCACAGATGGATGGATGTATAGCCTATATAAAGGACATTTGTAGGTGACTTATCTTAATAACAGATGTGAAATATTCCGTTTGTGACATTTAATTAACTCAGTCTGTTTTATTCATAAAGGTGTGTAGGTGTGGATACCTTCCAGCAACTAATGAGATCGTGTTTTTAAATATGGAGGATATAAATGTGTAAAAATATTAAACCGTCAAACGGGTCAAATTTGATGTGACCTAAATTGTATTATTTAATGTTGTAGTGAACACAAGGGTGTCTCCTACATTTCACAGGCACACTGCAGAGGTTACAACTCTGGAATTCCATAGGTGGATTCTATTAAGCCTTTCTGAGACTCTTTAGATCTTGCCAGACTAACATCTCCTTTCTCTGATTGGGGCGGCTGTGGCTAGAGCGGTTGTCCAAAGAATATCAGTGGTGAATGTGAGGTATATTTACATTAAAATAGATGGATAAAATAGTAAAGATAAAATACATAAATAAAAAACACATAAAAGCAGGGTTCCATAAAACTACCAAATATCAGCAGGTGAAATGTAATATTATTTGAGTTTGAAGGCTAATCTAAGGAGATGGGTTTTGATAAGGGATTTGAAAGTGTCAAGGTGCTACGTTCACGGATGTGTATGATGGGTAGGGAACTCCAGAGGGAGGGGGTTGTGATGGTGAAGGTGCTCTGTCAACAAGTCAAGAAGGGAGTATTATAATTGCAGTTAGGATGTACTAGATAGCAGCATTGATAAAAACTTTAAAAGTGTTGTATTAGAGCTGCAAAACAAGAATTCAAAAACTCTGCACCATTTCATAAAGGTGTAGACCACACAAACACTTTAAGGGCAAAACACATTCAATAAATTTAAAGACAGCAGCTTTGTCTCAGGCTGTAATTCACTATATGGCCAAAGTATGTGCACAGCTGACAGTGGAACAGCATGACAGCATGCTCATTAATGTGCTGCTATAACAGCTTCCACTCTTCTGCTTTCAGTCTTTCTAGCAGATGTTGAAACTGCTGCAGGGATTTACTCCCATTCAGACACCAGAGAATCAGTGAGGTCCAAGACTGATGTTGGTGAGCAGGACTGAGATCACAGGTCAGCGTTCCACGATATCCAAAAGGTTGTTGAATGGGGTTCAGGTCTGGGTTCTGACAGACAGTATACAGCCACAAACTTTTGGCCGTATACTGTATCTTCCAGCTGAATCCTGTCAGTAGTCCTGAGCTGAGAAAGACAACAAACGCACTCACAGTAACATTCTGCTTTTATTGGAACAAGAGCCAGAATTCAAAGCAACACATGACAGAAGGTCCAAGTCAACGGCATTTCCACCATTTAATGATCAGAGCTTCCATCTTTAAAGAGGTGATATTATGCTTTTTAGGCTTTTCCCCTCTCCTTTATTGAGTTATAAAGCCCTAAGTCCAGCCCAAAGGAAGTTCCCATCTATGGCGTTTATTTTTAGTCATAAGTTGTGAGTGTGCCCTCCTTGCTTTCCGCCCCCAAATTGTCAAATGTCATGTAGACTCGAGCAAGCAGAAATCCACTGGGCGAGCAAAACACCACTCCGCGCGAGCAGAAGCACACTGTGCAAGCAGAGTTATCCTTTGAGAGCAAACCGGGCGCTCGCTCGCAGAAACCTGTACAATGGTTGTTGAATTTGTGCGCAAGTACTGTATTGTGTGCACGGGAAGGTTAATTTTTGCACGTGTGGAATAACATAATTTGAGTATGTTTTACACGCTCACAACTTATGACTAAATATAAACGCCACACCCATCTCCCACAGAGAGCTCTGCTCTGAACCGCTTGAAAATAGCTCATTTGTAATCCAGCCCTTGACTTCCTTGACTTATGACATCACAATGAAAACGCGTCATAAAGCTTGCCAAGCGGCTAGCAGGTCAGGCACGCCCTCAAAACCAAGCTAGTTTGAGCGGAGGCCCTTTGGCACAACTCGGCTTTGTTTGGTTTTCCATTGTAGAAATGTTGTACCTGTACCTGCTTCCAGGTACTATTTTTCGTATCACCTCACCTCCGTCGAGGGTCCAAGCGAACCGAGGGATATCAAAATGTAACGGGAAAACACGACAGACATTGGTCAGAGAGAATATTCACTATTCACTGCATCATCATTGTGTGCGCCAGACAGAGGCCAGCAACAGAAAGTTTTATATTTTACAGTTTTCGTATGGAATTTCATCACTAAATCCACTTCTGAGAAGCTTTGAGGTGAGAAATCAGCTGTGTAGATTTCCAATATTGACAGTTTTGCGAGAAGTGATGGCGGAACAAAAATGTGCCTGAATATTTTCGGAGTTGAGGAGCTCTGCAAGTGGCTGCGGGGGAAGCCTGCTGTGACCCGCGGGAGGAGCGTGTGAGGCCGGCCAGCCGCCCGCTCACAGAGCCCTCTGCTCCCACCGTCACACAGACCGCTGCAGCAACAACGGCAGAGGAAAACACAGCTGGAAGGTTTTCATACCGCTTATCTGTCTTTACATTCTGAGGAACGTTGAAATGTTTTAACTTAAAAAAGAGAAAGCTGTGTGGATCGCTGGGTTGTGTGTCACACTGCATATTACGTCGCAGCAGTTGTGTTTGGCGTCGCTATGACGACAAGCTACGTACTATCTCTGGTTACTATCTGCAATGGAAAACGAAGCAGGGCCGAGTAGAGTCGAGTCTATCGATTTGCGCTATGGTAGCATTTTTCGGCAAGGCAGCATAGATCGTCAGAACACCGGCAACAGTTCAACGTTCAGTCATAAAAGACGATGCAACTCCGACTCTGTTTGCTTTATTGGTTGTGAATTATATTTAAAATAAACACGGCAATGTGACTTCACAGACTGTTCAAGTGCTAAAGTTAAAGTTACAGCTATAATAATAATGTTACACCCGATGTGAAAGCTACTGAGCAAACGTTCAAATTGTTTGGCCAATTTTTATGTAAAATTGAGTTGAAATATGGTGATTTTTGTAGTGGTTTATGGTAAGATGTGGAACAATGATGTTGTGTGGTTGTGGACTTGTGAGTAACTTCTACCACCTGCTAGGTTACAGTCGCAGTCTGAAGCAGCTTTGATTTGGATCACACTACCTTGTTTCTTATGACCTTGTACAAAGTTCATTGATGAATTTATTACAAGAAGCTGAAAGATTTCTGTGATCCTGTACAGACTCAACTGATCTGTTCTCTACCAGGAGGAGACTCTCCCTCCTACAGAGACACTGAGGAGGTACCTGAACCAGACCAGAGCCCAAATCCAGGATAAAGAGGTTCAGTGAATGTGGTGTTGAAGGTGTGGAGGTGGATCAGTGTGTCAGAGGAGACTCTGTAGAAGGACAGAGAGCCAGCAGGACAGTCCACATACACTGCTACTTTGTCAGAGATATAGGAGGAGGGGGAGAGGGAAGTTCCTATCTTATTGTGCCAGATATAGCAACCACCATCATCAGAACACCTCAGACTCCAAGACTGATCATTCTGTCCAAACCTGCAGTCTTCTCTGTCACTACTCCTTCTGATTCCTCTGTAACTCACTGATATATAAACTCTTCCTGTCCACTCGACCTCCCAGTAACAGCGACCAGTCAGACCATCTCTACACAGCAGCTGAGGCCAGTAGTCAAACCTGTCTGGATGATCAGGATATGACTGAACCTCCTTCACACGCGTCGCCTTCCTGTTGTTGTCAGACACTTTGATGTATCTGTTTACTGTGTTTGTGTCGAGTGTGAGTTCACAGGAATCTGATGAGAGAACGAGACACAATCCAGCTGCAGTTATTGATCTATCATCTGTTCATTGATTGGCACTTTGAATGAGTGATGTCACAGTCTGAAGATGGTTGAATGTTTTCATGAATCAAATGAAAAACACACTTACACTTCCACAGACCTGGTCTCAACCATTGGACTCCAGCAGGCTCCACCCTGAAAGGTGGATGGGGGGTCAGACCAGCATCAAACATGGACATTACATTCCTCTCATACACATAACAATATGTGGATCCGGCCTGCTTCTCCCTGCCCCCCATAAAGCTCTTCGCCTATGTCACTCTCCTCGTACACTCAGAGTGACCCACAGGATGTTGGTGTGTGAGAAAGAGGAGGAAAACATCTGATCACACACACAAAACTCTTTCTGATCGAAACCGCATCATTTCATGTGTTGGGATGTTTTGTGCATGTTCATGTTCCTATGGTTTGGAGTTGAAACGTTCTCTATGATGTATATTACAACAATAATATTACTGTCTGTATCATTTCTGTCTCCACTGTGCTGCACGTCATGTTTGATGGCATCAAAAGCAGAAATAATGACAGTTTGGTGAAAACGACTTTCATATTTATATATGCTATGACTAACATGATATGTCCAAATGTGTGTCCAGGAACATCTGTAAAAAGAGGTTACTGTTGGCATCAGGACTTCCCTTGGTGAGAGATGACATGGTAGGAGAGATGACACAGTGAGCATTTGTGTAATCTTGTGAGACTTGGTGCAATTCAAACATGGCGGTGTGCAGCTCAACAAACATTTACCAAAAACTAGGTTAAAACAATGTGAAGCACAGAGACAGGTTGGGTGAATATCAATGAGCTATTAAACACACACTAGCTGACATGCAGTAAATATAATGACCAGCAGTCACATTAACCCAGTGCAAGGGGAGATCACAGTCTACTTGTCTGTACTAGGGGCAAGTTTATCCTGCATGCAGGATGAGCTCTAAGCCAGACAATCAGAACGGAACAGAACAGAACAAAACAACAAAAAGAAAACCACCAATAAAGTGACTGACCCTGCAACCCAAACTAAACAAAACACAACTCTACACAGTTGTTGC